GTTGTTTCAACGCGGTGAGTTCAAATTTCAAAGTATGGCCAGACTGGTCGTTATACTATTTTGCAAATTTATGTTGTCGATACAAGAGAAAGACTAAATCAGACAGAGAGCTATGGGATATGAATTGAGATTCGCCAGTAAGATGAAGCGCGCCACCAGGTAAATCATAGTTCTATTTATCATAAATTGTGTATTGTGAGAATTATGAAATTGTAATTTTATATTCATGCATATGTTGCGAATATATTAATGCGCGCAATTCGCTAAACCATTACGCAACTGACAACTGCAGATCATTTGCGGTTTGCACTGATATTAATTATAACCAGTGTACCGCACTTATTTACTTATTTAGAATGTATACCAGCTTATTATTAGCTCTATTATTACTTTAATAGATCTTGACTACCAACAAAACTTTGACTGAATCATATACAGGAGCGTTGTCTCTTAAAACTTGAATTGTACTGATTTTATATCAATTTTCATTCGTACGTACTACGTTGTGGAGTGTGTATATATATAGGCTCTTCAAGACCTTCAAATGCATTACACTTCATTTAACTATAGTAAATTATCTCTGGGTTAAGTTTATTTTCAACGCGTCGACACCTTATTCATATTTTTTCTAGTTCATTATTGTTATAGCCACTGTACATAGCAAAAGCATGGCTAGTCAGAAATATTTAGTGTGAATATTCAACTACACTCATGCTGTGAAGATATATGAACAAACGACAACCTTGCCGCTTAGCTATTTCACAAAATGTTTTCTATTTTCCTTTGCAAGATAAGCGATCTTAAAGATGGCAAAGCAGGAAAGGCCAGACACGACACTTATATTGCATGTCTGAATATTATACAGAATATAATGGTTGGTTAATATTACATTAAAATTTTGACAAACTCGAACCGATTTCGCTGTCTGCAATTCTGCTATAGCTAATTTATCTGGTTGGTTTCGCTGTCTGAAATTCAGCTAGTAGCCTACCTAAAATGTCTAAAATGTATCTCAAAATATATTTTGACAAGCTCAAACCGACTTCAGTGTCTGAAATTCAGCTACACTGTACCTATCTCTAGGTGGTATTATATATGATTGTTTTGGCAAACTCAAACCGTTTTCGGTGTCTGAAAATCAGACACCGAATTTGTCTCAGTGAGTCTGTATGGTTGGTATTTATATATGATTTTGACAAACTCAAAATGTTTTCGGTGTCTGAAATTCAGACACCCAAATTTATCTCAGTCTGCATGGTTGGTATTTATATATGATTTGGACAAACTCAAACCGTTTTCGGTGTCTGAAATTCAGACACCCAAATTTATCTCAGTCTGCATGGTTGGTATTTATATATGATTTTGACAAACTCAAACCGTTTTCGGTGCCTGAAATTCAGACACCCAAATTTATCTCAGTCTGCATGGTTGGTATTTATATATGATTTTGACAAACTCAAACCGTTTTCGGTGTCTGAAATTCAGACACCCAAATTTATCTCAGTCTGCATGGTTGGTATTTATATATGATTTTGACAAACTCAAACCGTTTTCGGTGTCTGAAATTCAGACACCCAAATTTATCTCAGTTTGCATGGTTGGTATTTATATATGATTTTGACAAACTCAAACCGTTTTCGGTGTCTGAAATTCAGACACCGAATTATATTTATATCTGACAATGGTTGGTCTATTTATATATATGAGTATAATCTGAATCCAGTTTAAGTCATGTAAGCATATGAATACTGCAAATTTTCACTTTAGCATTAATGATTTCAGAATGGTGTCTCGTTTAGACAAAAATGTTGTTTTTTTGCAGAGTCTCTGCCAAAAAATAGTATTTCGATTTGCTAAAATGAAATCTTCGCACTTTTTGTTATTTTTTAAAATTTTTGCAGAAAAAAAAATAGTTTGGAATTATTGAAAATAGTTTGGAACGCGTTATATATATATATATATATATATATATATATATATATATATATATATATATATATATATATATATATATATATATATATATATATATATATATATATATATATATATATATATATATATATATATAAAATATTAGCATTGTAAATGAACTCACCTTAGCTTTAACCATGCAAATACCATAAGGAATACTTGTAGAGTACATAAACATTACCACATTTATTCGCACGTATATGTAAACACATTTTACAACGATAAAAACCTCTTTCAAAGTTTTGCACCAACGAATTCCCTTTAAAAATATGAATTATGCAGAAAGCTCTGTACGGTTGCTAAGGTAACCATGGTCCTTATATGGGCAACACTTGATATAGAAATATTAGGCGCCAACATTTGCAGTTTCTGCGCGAAGGATCTATCTGTAGTATTATCGAACAAATCAAGCGTATATTCGAATATTTTGGTAAATTTCAGCATGCGACATACAATCGAGGAGAAAAGAAAGATGCGCAATGAGAGAAAGAAGAGAAAGCAACATCAGAAATCGCAGTTGAAGCGCGCGGCTCTTATAGAAGATGCACTTCGTGATGTCAAAGCAAAATCTGACCAGCAAAGAAGCATTGCTTCTAAATATTACAAACTTTGGAAAAGAAGTGTTGACGTCAACAAGAAATTACAAACAAGGTATATTCAATTTTTAGTACAAATACATTTCATCAACCCTTTTAAGTTTTATTAATGCACCTATTGAGGCCTATTGATGTTAATCCCAAGGGTGGGAGGGTCTGGCATTTGATTTTTCATGCAATTAAATTCCCTACCATGGGAAACAGGGGAAGCAAATATGTGATCAAATACCCCACTGTTGCAGGGCACACATATCTGTGGTGAAAGGCATGAAAGTCATTTGTCCCAGTGCTCAACATGTGGTCTTCCTTTATAGGATGCAAGATGGCTCTCAATTCAAATATCCCCATCCTCGGGAGATGGTGTCGATCAAATTCCAGAGGGTGGGGAAACAAAAATCGATCAAATACCCCACATATGCCAGACCCCCCCCTGGGGCTTACCATTTAAAGGTGCATAAATATAACTGCAGTATATGAATACCATAAACCTCTGATTATAAGCCCCCTCCCCTGAATATAACAATAATGGGCTTATAGACGGGGACGTCTAAGTAGTATAGGGAAGAGGAGTTCTGGACCGGGTGGAGCGGGTGGAGCACTAGAGCTCCACCCATTACGTCATCAGGATATATTTTCGTATTAATCACATGCGTTATAATTGTATTTAAACCAGTGTAGACCTATGATTACCAGCATTTTAAGAACATTTTTACAGTTGATACTTTGCTAATATTTATCCCCCGACATATATTCCTTCTAACGAACTGAATGAGTTGTAACACGATTCTCGGTATATATTCTACTAAGGTTGTTGTAATGCTTGTGGGACATGGATATTATACTCATACGCATGCGCAGTGAGAATTCTGTAATACGAAAATTCCTGACTGGTAGGAGCTTGCAAGGATTCCGGGGGAATTCTACAGGGGTTATCTCGAGGTTCCCTTGGGTTCTCTCATAATAATGCGAAAGCAGTACCTTGTTTCTAAAACCTGCTGACAGCCCAGTTTATTCAAAATTCCCCAGAAGCATAACCGGGAATAGAAATAGAATATCAAAGTTGTATTTGAATTCATCGTATTACAAGGTTTTAATAAATTATCTTACGTTGTCCACTACTTTAACACCATCCTTGGTTTTCCCTGGAGATATATTCGCCATGTTTAGGACTATCCAACCAGAAATAAAAAAATCCAGACATATATATGGTAAATTTAAACAGAACTAAGCAGTTGCTAAGCCCAAGTTAAAATCGTTGTCAACGCCGTTGTTATGGTCGATATTTGCATATTACAGAGTCATTAAAAAGTGATTAACCCGCCCACTGCGTTTGGATATATACAATTTTTTCATTTCACCCAGCGAATTTGGGACAGGAAAAAAAAATACTAGCGAACAGAAAGTTATTACAGATTATATACAAGATATATCGAAACTTTGTCGTTTGCAATTGTGGCTCTCTGAAACGTATACCGCCAAAGCATATCTATGCGCCAAAGTCATTGACAGTCATTAATCGATTGCAAAATTTTAGTCTCTTAAGTGCTTCTTATGGATAGATAGGGATTATTTGTTACCTTAAAATCGGGCTCGTTACAAAGTTATGCTTCTAGTATATAATGTCTCTTGTTTGAGATGTTCACCATCTAAGATATTATGATATTTATCAGTTATAGACCTGAAAGGAGGGGTATTCCACAAAAAATTACCCTGAGGGATGAAATATTCCGCAGGGTAATTTTTTGTGGAATACCCCGAGTGAAAGGTCTATAAATGGTATATTATACCGAACCTTTCAAAAATAAGTAGAAAACAAATACCATTCAATTAACTTTTAATTTCAAAACACAACTTTTGATAACTTTACATTTAAAAGTCGAATTTCCCGCTCAAGCGTGGTATTCGAAGTCGAATACCATGGCCCCGGGTAAAACACCCAGGGTTCAAATTGCCTAGGTCATAGTATTCGCTGAAAAATACCATGGTCATGTGGTACAAATTTAGTTCTCTGATTGGACAAGCTCATTGTGAGGTATAATATCCTAAGATATTGTATGATATCCTAAGATACTGCATGATATCCCGGGATATTGTATGATATCTTAAGATACTGAATGATATCCCAAGATATTGTATGATATCCTAAGATATTGTTTGATATCCTAAGATACTGTATGATATCCTATGATATTGTATTATATCCTAAGATATTATATGATATAGGCTCCGAACTGAGCTCCACAGGCTCGGAGCCGAGCTCCAATGGCTCGGAACCGAGCTCGAAAGGCTCGGAGCCGAGCTCGAATGGTTCGGAATCCTTATCTTCTTATCTTCCTTATCTTTATCTTATCTTTATCTTCTTATCTTCCTTATCCTTATCTTTATCTTCTTATCTTCCTTATCTTTATCTCCTTATCTTCTTATCTTTATCTTCTTATCTTCCTTATCATTATCTTTATCTTCTTATCTTTATCTCCTTATCTTTATCTTCTTATCTTCCTTATCCTTATCTTTATCTTCTTATCTTCCTTATCTTTATCTTCTTATCTTCCTTATCTTTATCTCCTTATCTTCTTATCTTTATCTTCTTATCTTTATCTTCTTATCCTTATCTTTATAGGCTCCATAGGCTCGGAGCCGAGCTCCTTAGGTTCGGAGCCGAGCTCCTTAAGCTCGGAGCCAAGCTCCTTAGGCTCGAAGCCGAGCTCCTTAGACTCGGAGCCGAGCTCCTTAGGCTCAGAGCCGAGCTCGTTAGGCTCGGAACCGACCTCGTTAGGCTCAGAGCCGAGCTCGTTAGGCTCAGAACCGACCTCCTTAGGCTCAGAGCCGAGCTCCTTAGGCTCCGAGCCGAGCTCCTTAGGCTCACAGCCGAGCTCCTTAGGCTCGGAGCCGAGCTCCTTAGACTCGGAGCCGAGCTCCTTAGACTCGGAGCCGAGCTCCTTAGGCTCGGAGCCGAGCTCCTTAGGCTCGGAGCCGAGCTCCTTAGGCTCGGAACCGGCTCCTTAGGCTCGGAAGCCCAAGCAGCTCGGCTCCGAGCCTAAGAAGCTCGAATCTGAGCCTATGGAGCTCGGCTCCGAGTCTAAGGAGCTCGGCTCCGAGTCTAAGGAGCTCGGCTCCGAGCCTAAGGAGCTCGGCTGTGAGCCTAAGGAGCTCGGCTCCGAGCCTAAGGAGCTCGGCTCTGAGCCTAAGGAGCTCGGTTCTGAGCCTAACGAGCTCGGCTCCGAGCCTAAGGAGCTCGGCTCTGAGCCTAAGGAGGTCGGTTCCGAGCCTAACGAGCTCGGCTCTGAGCCTAAGGAGCTCGGCTCCGAGTCTAAGGAGCTCGGCTCCGAGCCTAAGGAGCTCGGCTCCGAGCTTAAGGAGCTCGGCTGTGAACCTAAGGAGCTCGGCTCCGAGCCTATGGAGCCTATAAAGATAAGGATAAGGAAGATAAAGATAAGAAGATAAAGATAAGAAGATAAAGATAATGATAAGGAAGATAAGAAGATAAAGATAAGAAGATAAGGAGATAAAGATAAGGAAGATAAGAAGATAAAGAAGATAAAGATAAGGAAGATAAGAAGATAAAGATAAGAAGATAAAGATAAGATAAAGATAAGGAAGATAAGAAGATAAGGATTCCGAACCATTCGAGCTCGGCTCCGAGCCTTTCGAGCTCGGTTCCGAGCCATTGGAGCTCGGCTCCGAGCCTGTGGAGCTCAGCTCGGAGCCGATATCATATAATATCTTAGGATATAATACAATATCATAGGATATCATACAGTATCTTAGGATATCAAACAATATCTTAGGATATCATACAATATCTTGTGATATCATACAGTATCTTAGGATATCATACAATATCTTGGGATATCATTCAGTATCTTAAGATATCATACAATATCCCGGGATATCATGCAGTATCTTAGGATATCATACAATATCTTAGGATATCATATAATATCTTAGATGGTGAACATCTCAAACAAGAGACATTATACACTAGAAGCATAACTTTGTAAACGAGCCCGATTTTAAGGTAACAAATAATCCCTATCTATCCATAAGAAGCACTTAAGAGACTAAAATTTTGCAATCGATTAATGACTGTCAATGACTTTGGCGCATAGATATGCTTTGGCGGTATACGTTTCAGAGAGCCACAATTGCAAACGACAAAGTTTCGATATATCTTGTATATAATCTGTAATAACTTTCTGTTCGCTAGTATTTTTTTTTCCTGTCCCAAATTCGCTGGGTGAAATGAAAAAAATTGTATATATCCAAACGCAGTGGGCGGGTTAATCACTTTTTAATGACTCTGCAATATGCAAATATCGACCATAACAACGGCGTTGACAACGATTTTAACTTGGGCTTAGCAACTGCTTAGTTCTGTTTAAATTTACCATATATATGTCTGGATTTTTTTATTTCTGGTTGGATAGTCCTAAACATGGCGAATATATCTCCAGGGAAAACCAAGGATGGTGTTAAAGTAGTGGACAACGTAAGATAATTTATTATAACCTTGTAATACGATGAATTCAAATACAACTTTGATATTCTATTTCTATTCCCGGTTATGCTTCTGGGGAATTTTGAATAAACTGGGCTGTCAGCAGGTTTTAGGAACAAGGTACTGTTTTCGCATTATTATGAGAGAACCCAAGGGAACCTCGAGATAACCCCTGTAGAATTCCCCCGAAATCCTTGCAAGCTCCTACCAGTCAGGAATTTTCGTATTACAGAATTCTCACTGCGCATGCGTATGAGTATAATATCCATGTCCCACAAGCATTACAACAACCTTAGTAGAATATATACCGAGAATCGTGTTACAACTCATTCAGTTCGTTAGAAGGAATATATGTCGGGGGATAAATATTAGCAAAGTATCAAACTGTAAAAATGTTCTTAAAATGCTGGTAATCATAGGTCTACACTCGTTTCCGATTCCCAAAACCTGGTATGGCTATACAAATCACTAATAAATAGTTATTAAATTTCAAATTGAAGGTAACTCAGTTGAACATGTCCAGCTCAAGTACTTGTACAGTACCAGTAGGTATTACAACTATTCAACATGGGAAGGAAGGAGGAAGTTAGCAATGAATCAATCAGAGGAAGGAGGAAGTTAGCAATGAATCAATAGGGAATGGAGTTTTTGGCAATTGCTTCCTTAAAAAATTCATTAGATTAGGGAGGGACCATTAGAAAAGTGATGGGGGGGGGGATTTTCTAAGAGGCAATATATTTTTTTTTTGTACACTTATAGAAGAAATTTTTTTTTTTCTCACTTGATGGTTGGAAATATTTTTTTTTAAAGGGCCCTACAGTAATTTTTTAGTCAAGTAAGTATTGTTTACATTTTTTGTTATTGTCGCTACTTGACATGCGCACCACAGTATGCATGCGTTTTCTGTGTGCGAAAGTACTCATACTCATGGATACTGCATGTAAGATACAGCCAAACGAATCTCCGTGGAGTCCCCTACTTAAGGTGGCTTTCGACTAAAAAATGACTGTAGGGCCCTTTAAGTGAAATTTATAGGCCTATTAGTGGTGTAGTCCTGGAATGTTAACAAGGGGGGTTCTCCAAAGTGCCCTGAATTGGCGGGATGGGAGGGGAGATACAATAAGATATTTTAGAAATTCTAAATTTTGTTGGGGGTTTATTCTAGTAATTCTGGGACAAACATTTGACATTATTAGTCGGTGGGGCCACCTGTGGTGCCCACCGACTCTAGGTTTCGGCACGCATTTTTTTTCGCGGATCGCAGATCGCAAATCTCCATTGTACACAAATTTCCATTATGACACGTCACGATTTTAAGGAAATTTGAGTATATTGAAGTGGAAACATGTGAGACAACGACATTGAATTATAGAACTATATTTAGTTGGAAAATTGAGGAAAATTGAGTATATTTAAGTGGAAACATTTGCGACAAGGACTCAAGATTCTCTGCTCAAGGAGTGAAAGGACAAACTATCGTGAATGTTTTTGTATAGTTTTCAAGGATTCAAGATTGAAGCCTGATAGATGTTTCACAGGGTAAGTACTGAATGTATTTTATCTTCAGATACGCTCATCTCGCATGAATGTGCACATATTCGTGATAGACCTACACTAAAAGATGCTGAGCGATTTCGAACTGGGTCTATGATTCATGAATACAAACATACCTTCGGGTACAAAAAATGCAAATATACCTTAGGGTACATACATGCATTATTCGTGGAAAGGCCTACACTAAAATATTTTGAGCGTTTTCGAACCAGGCCAATGACACACGAATACAAAATTACCGAAAGGTACTATCATGTTGCTATCAAAGACATCAAACGTTTCTCAAAATCTTATTCAAAATGTTATTTAAATATGTTTACATTATTAATGCATACAAAATGTGACACACGTGATAAGCTGACAATCCACCAGATTGTATTTATAACTTCACAAGGTACAGATGAAGGTGTGAATTCTGAAAACAGTCAATTCTCAAGGGCTGCTCAAAAGCAAAACATTACTATGCAAGCCTTCCAATGTGTTAATATGTCAACATCAATTCCCAAAAATGGTGCCACTGGCACTGATTTTTGTTACACCGCAATTGGCAATCGCGACTTTTGTATGCGACAGGTATACAAAACTTTAAATCACATAATAAATGTCCATCAGTCTGCGCTTTGTTCAGACATCGAGACCAATCCTGGACCTGTATACTATATAGATCCTAGCATGACAATAAGTGCACCATATAGTCAGGGAAATGAACTTATATTTGGCGAAACAGCAGGACAGCAATGTTTGGCCATGTGTTTATGTGCGCTCATATGCAATAAAAGACAGGGACTTACTCATCACAAGATTTGGCTCGGTTAATGAATGTTGGCAATGAATTATACTCAAACTTGGCACGTTCGACAAGCCAATCATTTCTAATGTTTACAGAACTGCCTACGCAACTTACAGTATTCAACACAGATTATATTCTCCAGTACAGTGAAAGCTATAGTGGCAGACTACTTGGACAAAATTTTGTAGGGTATCATATTGAAGGGTATCAGTACTGTGTACCATTTCATCGAGCATTTGAGTTGCTACTGACTGAAAACTTTGCTGCATTTATATTGACAATTGATTCCAATGCAGTTTGCATATATTCCATAAATGATGGGAAATACAAAATATTTGACTCTCATTCAAGGGATATATATGGTAGAAGCATCCACAAGGGACTTGTGTATTGTTAGAGACAGCAACTATCGACCATGTTGTTTTGCATTTACAGTCATTATACGGTGAAAACAGTCCGTTTGAGCTACGAGGAGTAAATATTGAAGAACAACAAGCTTCTTTTCACCACGCTCAAAACCTTAGTAAAAACGGTATGCCTGGTAGTGGTAATGTCTCACAGGAAACTAATACATGTGCATGTAGTTCTGACATTTCTCAATGTTGTGGACATTATATTCTATTTGTTACTCCACTATTAAGCCATGCAATTATTGGGATTCGAATACAGTTTCTGCAATTGCTTATTGGGGCACTATTTTGTATAACAACACTGGTATAAATATTTGGTCTTCAAGTACACTGCCAAGGAAATATTTGAAAATGAAGTACATGTAAATTTACAAGCAAATTATCGAGGAGTATTAAGTGATAATGCAGAAAGCAGATTGGACATTGAACATTGTATATGTGATAATAATGAAAGCACAGGTTTTTTAATTTGGCTTGGAACTTCCTGTATTCCTTGCTTCATTAGTCGGTGGGGCCACCTGTGGTGCCCACCGACTCTAGGTTTGCCTTTGGTATGCCACAAAATGACAAATTACGTCATTTTAATTACGTAATACTTACGAAATAAAAATCAAAATGGCGACCATGGAATAGCGTGCAAAAGTTCGCTATCGACTATTAGGTCCAGTCGTGTCTTTTCATTTGGGGTTTTTGAAATAAATATATTAAGAATTCACTAAAAGTTATCACGACGTTTTCACTGTTATGTTATCGAGCAGGGAAGTAGATAATTTGTACATAATTTCATATATTTGTATCGCGCGGCAGAGACACTGGGCGCGCAAAAGTTGATGCTTTCTATATATTTACTATTGAATTTTCGAAATCTCCGGAGCGCAATTTCCAAACTTTCCAGTCAGTAATAATATTTTGGTCTTTTGGATCTACATAAATTAAACTTAAAGTCAGACATCGCCTGCTTCTTTTGAGTCCTATTCCTATTAAATAGCATTGAAGGATTAAGGTTCATTGGGACAAAATGTATTACCAAAAGCTGAAAAGGAGGAACTCAATTTCCTGATATCGTGTGGAAGTAACATAGAATCTTTCTTGGCCCAATAACATATATTATTATTCCATGCAGATCGCCGCCTCTATACTGCACAGGCGCACTGGTATGTAGATTAGTAGATATGACTGAAGCGTTATTGCTATACATAATACAGTCGCTTGGTAATCTCCTCTCACGAGGCATTGTATTACACAGACGTTATAATGTGTTTAGTTTCGAAGGGAAGAATATTCTTGCCTTCCAGCCTTCGACGCACCGGTTGGTAACATTACATCAGCCGATCTGTGTAATGACAACAGGATAAACGCTTATAATTTTAACACATACGATAGATACTGTATACTATATGACTATTAAAACAACATTGCTACATGGTTGTACTTGTTTTAACTATTAGCGCTAACTGCCAGGCAAACTTCAAGATTCAATGTTTTCGGAAAAGCAAACACGCTGTTCTTAAAATTGCATATTTCCATCGCCCCAGCGACTTTACGCTCCGTGGAGCGTCTTGTTCTTATTAAAAACAAGCCGAAGCGAGGGCCGAAGGCCCAAGGAAATTTTTAAATTTAGAGTCTCTGAAATGCCATTTCCTGGACTTTGGGGAAGATTTGACAGAATTCTGATGGTCAGAAAACAGCGTTTTAGTATGTCGAAATTTACAATTTAGTGGTACTAAATGATATAAAGATTACAAAAATGGCGATATAAAGATTACAAAAATCGTGTTAAATGATGCGTGAAAATGAGATGCAATTCTAAAGAACATTCTCGTTTACTGGTATTTTTTTGTGTGTGTTTTCGCACGTTGTTAAGATTATCAATTATGCAACGTGCCAAAATATAGGGGGCTCAGCACGCTGGTCACATTCAGCAAATTTTCTCCCAGGATCGCAGGCTCATATTGTCAGTGGACTTGCGGTGTAAAATTGAACATTTTTCAAAGAACTGGCCACTTTCTGTAAGATGTCCGCTGTCAATACGAACCCGCACGAGTGGGAGAAATTTTGCTAAATTTGACCAACGTGCAGCCCCCCAAGTCAACATGAAATTTCAACAAGGGGGCTCAGCTCCCCTGAGCCCTCCCTCCAGTACACCACTTGGCCTATCTTCTAAGCAAGAATTTTTTTGTTTTGCACTATGCCTTGAAAGATTTTTTTTTTTTCATTTTTTTCTGGGAATCAGCAATTTTTTTTTTGGTTTTGCCCCCCCCCCCAACACTTTTCTAATGGTCCGTCCCTAACGATCACAACTACAACGGCCGGCCCACTAAACGGCTGAATTTAAATTAAACTGCAGTAACGTTAGAAAATAATCGCAAATTAGCGAAATATATTGCAAATATGGATTATATTAAATTGCCATCAGATTGCACTATCGACTAACTGACGTATAGTTATAAAGTATACTTAATATATATTTAAAAAACTCATTAATAATTCAGGAGCAAAACACAAAGAAAAATCATAAGCGTGTCGTGGTTTTATATGTGATAAAAAATCATGTTAACTTACATAAACTTTAGCCGTTTGATTTTCTCGGTTTAGACAAAGTTTATTTTAAAAATTACTTCGCTAATGTACTCATCAGAAGATGGGTCGTTTTTTAAGCTATTTAAAGCACTCGTAGTCGTGTTTTATCACATATAAAACACTCCGCTACGCGTCGTGTTTTATATGTGATAAAACACTCCTACTCGTGCTTTAAAACTTTAAAATTATACGTCAGTTTGTTGATAAATACGGTATATTTAAGCGCCATGTAAAGCTCATTGTAGTCACTGAAATCTCTGCGGAGGCGAGAGCAATCGGGTGGCGATTTAATATAAGCTACATTTGTATTATATTTCGCTAATTTGTGATTATTTTTGTTAATTTTATAAGTTCATTGCATGCAGTTTCAATTTAAATTCAGCCGTTTGGGTTAACCTGAAGTTCAGGCCCTATTACAGAATAGGTTGGTGGGCTGCCTATCAGCCTATGGCTATGCTATAATTAGATTGTTGTTGTCGTTTAACTTTCTCCTGCGACATTTTGATTGGATACTAAATATAAACTTTGCTGTGGGTAGAAAGCGATCAGGTTAAGTTTTGTATCAGGCTCTATTTGTAAAATAGAGCCTGATACTCAGGTTATATCCTCACTAGTGCATGAGGATATGGAAAATATGTCACTTTGTATTTTTCAGTATCTCACTCCAGTACTATATAATAAATTTCTTTATCTGGAGGATTCAAAATAAGCAGGTACTAACAAGTTTGGATGCACAGTTAGCATCTCGTATCGTGGCACCCAATATACATTAGCATATATAAGTGTTATGGTGGGATGACCCATCCCTTGCCGCCCTGCACAAATGATTCATTTGACAGATTCATTTTGATTCATTTTGTATTGGGCAGAGCAGTTTCAACCTGTCGAAAATACTGGCAAGCTAAGAACTTTTAGAAAAATAAAAAAACACTTTGAATGTGAAAAATACTTAAACGAAATTAGTAATTTCAAATATCGTCAAGCTGTTACAAAGTTAATAATATCAGCACATAAGCTAACTGTTGAAACTGGTAGATACAACAATGTCCCATACAATGATAGACTATGCAGACTTTGTGAGTTAAATGAAGTAGGAGATGAACATCACTTTTTAATGTCTTGTACAAACATGAAGTTCATCGACCTCAGGACAAAATTCATTGATAATTTATATAAAATAAATAGGTTTTTCAACTTATTTACTTCGGAAAACCTATTTATATATATTATGGCTATGAAGGATAAGTCAATAGGGCCATTTATACGGAACAAAATAAGACGCGACTTACATAAGACGCGACTTAAGTAAGACGCGAGTTTGTGGTATAAAAGGTACAAAATTCTTATGTAAGACGCGTCTTGGATAAGACGCGTCTTACATAAGAACAGGTCTTTTAGCTGTTCTTATTTAAGTCGCGTCTTAAATAAGAAATTTTGGACAAAAAGTCTAACTACACATGTCAGAAACTTGAAACAACGTAAAATTTTATGCCTTGCATATTAAAACAAAAACAACCAAAACAACATTATAGCTATAGCAAATAAATAAGACCAAAGCCGTAGAGAACCATTTATACGATAACTCCACTTATTTAAGTCGCGTCTTATGTAAGTCGCGACTTATTTTGTCACGTATAAATGGCCCTAATAATGAAGTTAGTAGGCAAATATTGTTTCGACGTTTTGGCTGCTTTTGATAGCCTGGTCTAATTACTCACGTGTGCGTGTGTATGTATGTGTATTTATACATTTATCAACTAACTTTTTTCATATATATTAATATCTATGTTATTGTTATAGACCGTAACGACTTATTTAGTTATTTACCCATGTATTCTATGTCCCAATATTGGGACTTTGTTTGAATAAATTATTATTATTATTATTTGACACAGGAACACTGTTATACGGCAATTGTCATTTTCAAGTGAAATGATTTGAAATTAGTATGAGGGACAGACTTATTGGAAACAACCCAAAAGTTATATAACTTGCCTATTTGGCATGGAATAAGTATTGAGCATGCATTGACACTGTTCCTGCATTTATTCAGTATCAAGACCTGTCGCATTTATTTCATTTCCGGTTTAGTTGATCATGCTGAAAACTATACTTGTGTTCCAATTGCTGCATACAAAGTCCTATCACTCCTATGGTGGGATGACCCATTCCTTGCCACCCTGAACCAACGATTCATTTGACACAGGAACACTGTTATGCAGCAATTGTTATTTTCAAGTGAAATGTTTTGGAATTAATATGAGGGACAAACATATTGGAAACAATTCAAAAATTATATAGATTACTCATTTGGCATAGAGTCAGTATTGAGCATTTGACACTGTTCCTGCATTTATTCAGTATAAAGACTTAGCTGTTGCATAGTATATTTTAATTATTCCAGTTCAGTTGATCATGCAGGCTTAAAACTACTTGTGTTTCGATTGCTGCATACTAAGTGTTATGGTGGGATGACCCATCCCTTGCCGCCCCGCACAAATGATTCATTTGACACAGGAACACTGTTATGCAGCAATTGTCATTTCCGAGTGAAATGTTTTGGTATTATATATATATGAGGGACAAACATATTGGAAACAATCCAAAAATTATGTAAATTGCTTTTTTGGATAGAATAAGAAAACCGAATTAAGCCATGCATGTCACAACGGCCCGAACGCGACATGCCTAAACTCATACACAAGAAGTTTAACGAAGGACGATGGATGGTTTATTAGGGGAGACTAATAGGGTTGTTAAATTCACTGAAGATGAAGTAAATGGACACGTGTTTGCAAGAGTTAAATCGCATAAATTACTGCCTAAGTGGAAAACTAACGTTAAATATTTGGTAAAGAAAGCAGCAAAACGCTTGTTCGCTCTAAAATTTTGAGGAATTATAATGCTCCAATAGAAGATTTGAAAGCCTTTTATATGTCCATTATCAGATCAACCCTTGAGTACTGTGCACATATTTGGCATGCCGGGCAATCAAGCAAATAAACAAACACGTGATATTTGAGCGTATTCAAAAATGAGCTCTTTGAATAATGCTTCCTGAGTTCTTTCTGCTTCCCATGTAATCTTAAAACTTTAGAAGGTTGTAGAGAAAATATGTGTATTAATTTTATTAAGTCGTTGCATGCTTGACCCTGGTAGGAAACAGCTGCTTGATTTTTGCCCACTCAAAGTTTGTGAAATTAGGAATTGGGAAACAAGATTAAGTAGAGAAATATAATTTTACTGTCGATGCAATGGAAGTGTTGATAAAATATTGCATGAATCATTTCCTCAAGTTGATCAATTCATACGAATTCAAATTTCTTTTTACTTCCTGTGCGTTTCCTATTGGTCAATCGGTTCTGAAATGAAATCTAATTGGCTCATCTAAAAGTAACAGGAAGTTGATCAATTTTATATCAAATGAATTGATCAACTTGAGGAAAGGAATTGGTGCAATATTTTATCAACACTTCCATTGCATCGACAGTCAGCACGTTAAAACATTCGCATCCGATCTTTATCTGGGGCCGGTTGTTCAAAAGCTGGTTAACTTTAACCAAGGATTAGCGCTAACCCAGGGTTAAAATCCTTAACCCAGGGTTAGTTAACCCTGAGTTAAAACTGCGTTGTTCAAAGCTGGGTTAGAGGTGCGGTTAGTTAACCCAGGGTTAAGACATTTAACCCAAGGTTAAATTTGTTTTAAAAATAAATGTAATATAAGAACGTTTTTGATTGGCTGGAAAGTAAGTGTCAAAACTAGCGATAGAATGAGATAGATGGGAGAAATATTGTTCAACAAGTAATAGACAACTGAAATTGAACATTTGAGACATGGATTTAAGCAATTTGAAAGTTTCAAGAAAAAAATATACGTGATCAAAGCGGCCCAAAGCGGCAGAGCCATTTAAATAAATCAATTTTGGAATTTTAGGCAGTGCTTGAATAATTAAACCAGCCAATCAAATGAATTTTGAATTATTTTGGAGTTGAAAAGCATTTTTCAACGCATGTGTGTTGATCCTATAAAACAAAACACGAAAACTGATCGAAAAGTCGAAAACAGAAAAAGAAGCAGCGAAGTTGTTTTACAGCTTTCAAAAACAGTGTTTTTACTAGGCAATACACTGCGCTACAAACAGTAGATGTTAGGGACGCCGGAACGATAATAAGGCAAAGGGGGGGGGG